GAGTGTTTCAAAGATGGATGGAATCGTGTCATCGAGATGATCGAGTACCCGACAGAGTATTTCATCGCAGAGCAAGACCACGTCCGACGAAAAGGCTTCCGGGTCGGAGACACTGAATCGACTGCGTCCACGTGCCGCCGGTTCGTCGCGCCGTGCCACGGCATTCAACCCAGCTTGAAACAGATCCAACGTTTCTTCTCGAGAAGCCACATCCGGGATGCAAACAACGGCTTCTCCTGCTCCAATGGCTTCCCCTAATGATTGATCTTCATTTTCGGCGGCAAAGTCTTCCAACCAGTAAATGTCGTGATCCTCGTCGTCGTCTTCCAACCAGTCGTCTTCGAACGAAAAGCGTCTACTAATAGTAGTAGTAGTAGTGGAGATTCTGTTTGGATATTGTAGTAGGGGGAGAAAGGCTTGACAGATGGATAATACCGTCAAGAGCAGGAGAGGAAGCAATCGGAGGGAGGTCTTCGTCATCATGGTGAACAACAAAGATGATGTTGTGAAATGTGAGGAGACGAGCCATCGATTGAGGTGAAGAGAAGTCGAAAAAGATTCTGTGAGTACAATCACGTATATGACATAAGCGTGAATGTGTATGACTCGTAATTTCATTCACGCAACAGAAGACTCCGTTCTGAGAAAAATGACCCTCCGAGCCTTCCAAACTTGAAGCCGCCATCAAGTTGAACCCAGCCTGCCACACTGGTTGGTCAAGTTGTTGTTGTTGTTGTTGGCTTTCTCGCTGCTTCATCTATCTACTCTGACATCATCCCTCACCAAGAGGCTTGGGGCAAGGCAGATCAAGGTCTGCTGATCCAGCAAAGAAAGAGCTAGCTAACTAGCTAGACATCAGGCAGGCGAAGATCGACCATAGGATTAAGACAGGATACCCCTCTCTCTTCCAATCACCCTTTTTTCTGCTACTGTTCTATTGGTGTACATACATACTTGGTCGATGACATCGATGGCATCAAAGAAATCAGAGGCATTCGGCTCCATGGCGGAAGGTCTGAAGCAACGACGCAAATCGTCGGACGTACCAGACAGCAGTGCTACCGGTAGCAAACGACCTTCCAACAATATCGAGCTCGATGGCAAACGATTTTCCAAAATCCAACCCGACGACGAACCCACGGCGCATCCACCGGGCTACAACAAGAAGAAACGGGATATTGTCAAACTCATTCTCGCCGTGGTCGCTGCTGCATTGCTACGAGGGGATCCCAAGGTGGCCACTGTCTTGAGTCTTGTGTCCATTGTCTGCCTGAAAGAAGGAACGCTCCTGTCCGTCAAGAATTTGAAATGGCTCGGACTCTGCATCATCTCGGGGGGCATGAGTGGGGCGTCCTGGTACCTCGAACGCAAGTCCGAAGAAGAAGAACGGGAACCAAAAACAAAAACACCAGAAGAGGAAGCCGGCTTCTTGTCGTACTTTGACAAACCAATCTGGGCCAGTGCCAAAATTATACAACTCTGTTGGGGTACCACACTCGGTGTATTTCTGGTCAGTGCCTACATGCACGGACACAACAGTTTGCTAGAATTCGATTATCTATGGGAAGCCGAAAAACCACCCAGTGGACCACGAAAAGAACCACCGCCCAAACGGTACTTGTTGTATTAGAAACACAAGCACTCAACAAAGCAACAAAAACAGAAAAAGTGGTGAAAGTATGTATGCGGGGATTTTCAGGAACAAGGCCGTGGGGGACAGGATAGCAAAAAGACGACGACAACGACTGCGTCACTCCATGGGCCTATTATTATTTGGGGGTTTTGCCGTATTTGTTTTTGTAGCAGGAATCTAGTAGTAAAAAGTAGGCGTTGAAACGGTAAAGCAATCTGCATTCAAAACTTTCACATGCCCGGAACCGTCGGCAGAAGGGCATTCTGTACCGTACTGTTGCAACCTTCAGTAGTCGGCTTATCTTGTTTGAAGTTCACAAACTCCCACTTGCTGGTTGCGGTAGACCACAAGTTTCATCACATTGTCATGCCACCCCCACGACCAGTTCGTAGACCAAGTCTTTGTCCTACCGTACGCCAGGACCCATACACAAGGACCCGCAGTGGGCCCAAATACAGGTCCTACCGGTACACCGGGCTCAAGAACTCACCTTATCACTCGGTGCATGTCCTGGTCCTACACCATCACCTACCAACCAGCCAAGCATTCGAGCAAAATTGCTCTAAGAATGGTACCAACATGGAGACCATACGGTACTGTACACAACCTTGTTGACGGCACAGAACGATGCACCTACCCCTGTCTTCAAATAGCCAGCACTGTTATAAGTTAGATCCGAGGTTGGATGAGCTTCCCGGGTGCCCCTAAACAGCTTTGTTCAAGGGTTTGCCGCCCCCCCCCCTCTGACTGGATGTCGTCTCAGCCGGTAAAATTTGGACAGTGGTGGTGCCCAAGCATTCAGATACCACTGTTCGCCGTTTGAGTTCTTTTGTGATGCCCTCTACCGACGACGAGAATGGAAACTCAACGAATACCTTTGGGGACACAACCATTCGTTCGATCAAAGCCTTACAGAGCTCGATGCCTTGGGCCTCTGAGACTTGCGTTTCTGCACAGGAAAAGCGGAACGAAGAAAACTCACAATGACGAGGGATCCCCTTGACTGCTTCTATCAAATCCGAGACCGACAATACTTGGCATCCAAAAAAGTCAACATCGAGGTCCTCGAGCTTGGTCAGCAGCGTTGTTGGAAGAAAGTCTATTGCTTCCAAGACTAAGCCTTCGTTGTTGTTTGAGTTCAGGTTCAACTTTTTCAGGCTGCCAACCCAAGGGGCGCTCCTGAAGCCTGTGCAAAGTCCGTCGATAGAGTCAAGATTCTTGCAGCCAGCAAAGTTCAACGAGAGTTCCTCTAGGCAATCCATGGACATGACAGCCCTTCCAATGGCATCAAGAGAATCAACATCCGTGGATTGCAGAGACAGCTTTAGAACTTGCAATGTCCTGGCTTCCCCCAAACCTTCCGAAAACTCATCAATGGAGCGCAACGCTTTGCAACTCGTTGCGGCAACATGAAGTTCACAAAGTTGCGGCATTTCCGGAAAACAGCTCCCCAGTGCATCCAGAGACAAGAGCGCATCGTTCCAGGAGAAATCCAGCTTCAAAACTGAAAGTCGAGACGCCCTGCGAAGGCCTGAAGAGATAGACTCTACAGATGGTAGCTTGTTTTCGACGATGCTTTGGGCGAAGTTCAGCTCCAGACTCTCAAAAGATTCAGTGGCAGGCATGACTATTAGGGCTGCAGCCAAACTCTCGATGGAAGGTGATTCTACACCGTGCAAGTCAAATGAGCAATTGGGAAGATACTCAATGGATGAAATCCCCGTCGCGAAGAGGAAGAAGTCATTATCTGGCGAACACTTCGACAGCAACAAAGACATTGTTTCTAGCCGCGTCAAGGTGCAGATTGTCGTTGCCAATGTCGGAAGGGAGACTTCCCGAGCACTACCCATGTCCAAACGCAGCTCCTTCAATTGCAGTAGATGCTCCATTTCCTTCCAGAGGGTTGCACAATTCTCTAGTCGGGAGCAATAGCTCATGTTGAGGTGAAGTGACTCCAAACGGACAAGTCGACCTAGTCCACGGGCAAATCCGTCTAGATCTGTAATGTCGATCCAGCTCAAGTCTATAGACAAGTATTCAAGTGTGACAGGCAAAGCTTGAGCGAACTCTCCCGCTGCTGAAATGAATGCGCCACACGCAACAAAGCTCATGTCTAGACGTGTCAGAGGAGCACTCGCAAGTGCCGTGTGATAGTCACTTAGATTCTTGACCTCATTCTCCAATGCCACACGGAAGGTAGATGCTGCAAACCTTCCAGCTAGAATCGCGTTCAGGTGGTCGTACGCAGAGTGCGAGTCAGGGGGCGCAGCACTTATATTCTCATGGTTGCCGACTATATTGTTGAGGATAAACATCTTGTCTTCATTCCTGGATGCTCTAGCGCTCTGCAGCTTTGCAGCGAAGGCGTCATGGCACAACTGAAGGGGAAACTTGGCTTGTCGCTTTGACTTTAGTCGCTGCAGCGGTCCTGCTTCTCCAGGTGATTTGTCCAACAACCCATTTGGTCGAACATGGTGCAAGTCCGACGCTACTGGTCCCTCGGTGAGCCCAACAGGGATGCCCCCGGCAGGCTGACCAACCTCCTCCGGCGGGGAGGCATAAATATCGTACACATAGTCTCCTTTTTCCTTACGGTCGAGAAAGACAATGGCCAGCTCGAACACACACCAGATGCGCTTGTACATGACAGCGGCCCTGTCAATGATTGCGACGGCCCCTTTGGTGTTTTGAATGGCTTTGTAGAATGGCGTTTCTAGGTGACCGCTACCAGGCTGCAGCTCGTTTGACAAGTTGTGTTGATTGAGGGAGTACGCGCACACCCAGTATGCCGTCGTCGGAGGAAGGTCTCGATCAAACGCGTGGCGTTCAATGCAGGCAAGGAATGAAATCACACTCTCGCCCCAGTAATGGCTGGCGAAAAATGTTGGAGCTTGCTGCTCCGGTTGTCTTGGATCCGCAACCAGTTCCACATAGCTGCATTGTCTCTGGGCGGTGATCGGCATGATGTAGTTTTGCATCAAATCGTAGAGTGTCACTTCGGCTGGTTCGAGCAGCTTGCCACGTTTCTCGGGATCTGCGCTTGTCCAGCCTTCTGCCTTGCAACGAGTGAGAATAGCAGTCACAATCTCTCTTAGTTGAATGATAGTGATGCCTCGCATTTCTGCTCCATCGATTCGACAACCTCTGTTGCTGGTTGTTGTGTACGTGGACTGAGTGGCGTAAATGATGGCATTGTTTGTGACGCCCATCTCTGCAAGGGTTGCTGCTGCTACTGCATCGGCGGATGGTTGTTGATGAACGGATGCAGTGCTGGTTGTAAGAATGGTTCCGTCCGACAATACCAGTAGTGGATCGCAGTCGCTGTGCCAGATTTGGTTGGCTTTGACTCGTTCCTGCAGTGTCTGCACACTGTCGGATCCATCCACAGCAATAGCAAACGACAGCCGCTGTAGGGTGACAATGTGGACTGCCCATTGGTGCAACCATAGGTCTAGCGTCACATTGTGCTCAATACCCAGTTTGACCAAAGACATATAATCCTCCACCTCCTCATTGTTCCAAATGAGATGCAATATACGAGGATCCCATCCTGTTACGTCCTGAATGGATTGCTTGATGTCCGCTATTGTGGGCTTGTTCCAGTAATAGTGAATCACCGTAACCTGCAGCCTTGGACTGGCAAGCACTGGGATGTACCCCGAAGGACTTTTGATGACTTGTATATTGATCTGGTAATCCACATAGCAGTACACACCCTGAAAGACGTTGTGTTGAGCGTATCGATTCAAGGCAAGACGGTCGCTGTATTCCTCCCAAAAGAACGAACCGTCCGGCAAGGAATCGCTCCAGTTGACTGGAGAAAATTCCCCCGTTTTTTCTTCCGCCAGAAACAAATGTGTCCCTCCAAAATTCCTGGCGATGCCTGCATTTTTCTGTATCAAGATTGGAATTGCTTCCTCGCGGATCATCCTCTTGATCTCTCCCACGGTGATTCCCTTGTCCGGGATTGTTAGATATACCAAGTCTGCACCCCTCGCTTTTGGCACCCAGACTTGCACATTGAGTTCCCGGAATCCCACAGGCGGCTCCTCGGCGGCAAAACTCCCCAATGTGATTTTATATAATCCATGGACGATCTGTCCTGTTCCAGGTCTACTACTGTTTGGCTTGCCTTTTACATTGTTCTGTTGTTGACTGCAGAGACTGGCTGTTTCCTTGTCCACTGCACTCGAGGAGCGCCTCTTTTGTTCTACAAAACGAGCCTGATCCGACGCCTCGCTTATATCTTCCATCCCTCGAAGAGCGTTCTTTTTCTTGGAGGCTTTTCCGCGTGCTTTTCTTCGTGCAGAGCCATCCCTCCGTGATGGACGGTTTCCCATCGCCTCCTAAACGATATCGTCTTCCTTGGGCCATTTTCAATTAATTGGCACCGGCTTGAGAGACATGCATCCTGATCAGACTATTAATACTACTATACAGAAGGCGAGCGAGGAAGAAAATCCACAACAGCGGACGCAAAGACAACAACACAACAAAGAGAAAATGAAAGAGGTCAGCAAAATGGAGTGTCAGTCCACAAGAGTACGCCAGCTTGGTCACGAGTCTCAGTCGTGTCATTGGCCTTATACCTTCTTTTGCGCCTTCACATTATTTATTTCACAGGAACCCTCCGTCCTTTACTCTAGCTAGTAAGCTTATCACCATATCACCATGAACACCAGTACCAGTAACGACAACCAAGACGTCCGCAAAGCACTGCAGCATGCCGTCCAGACAATATGTGCCAAAGTGGAAGAAGAAGAGGACGAACAAGCCGAAGAGGATGACTGTCACAAGATGGGCGCCATGACACCCTCTGCCATTTTGGCACTCACCGAGTTGACCTATCAGTTTGCCACGACGGCATTGGCGAACGATTTGTCGGCATTTTCCTCCCATGCCAATCGCAAGACCATTACCGTCGAAGACGTCCTGTTGGTCGTACGCAAAAATCCGAGTATACAACAAAAACTACAGCAATTTTGTGAGGAACAACAAAAGAAACAACCACAACGAAAAAAGAAACAAGCCAGGCCCAAAAAGGATGTTGAGGTTGACAGCAGTAGCAGTGACAATGAGAGCGACAAGGAAGATTTCTCGGAAAATATGCTTGTGGATACAGACACTGAGAAGTCACCACCAGCCAAGGCAATTGGCAATTTCAAAAAGAGAGCCCGTCCCATTGCCAAAAAACCATTGGCTATTAGAGATGATGATGATAGTTCCTCCGCCTCTTCCTCGGGGAATGGATCAACACCAAAGACCAAAAAGTCCAATTATTTTCAAACAAAACAGCAGCAAACTGCCATTGATATAGAGGATTCGAGTACCGAAGAAGAAGAAGAGGAAGAAAGCCCGGAAAAGAAATCAGAAATATGCGCACTATTGGAAACAACCATAACCATGGCATCGCCAGACGATGATGACGATGACAGTTACTGAGGTCGCTGGGGCTCAGGTGAAGCTTTCGTCAAAATGGGAGACTCAATGCTATTTCTGGCAAAGGAGAAAATGCAATCTGCAAGTTTGTTTTTGGCATTCTTTCCAAAACAAATCTCCGCATGGTTCAGTGAGCACCTGATCCCACAAAAGTGGCAACAGGTGGATGCCACAATACTCCTTCTACCCTTTTGGATGTTGCCCTTTTCGGTGATCAGACACAATCAACACACCTATAGCTAGCCAAATGTAGGCATTGTGACACCACGCAGGGGCGGTGTAGCACCTTTGGGTTTTCCGTTCAGCCGCGGCCTGGTGATTCGACGTCTTCTCCTTCTAGTGCAGCCAGCGGGATGATACAATACAAAGCAATAGACTTGGAGGGAGACAGCTTTCGCGTCCTCATTCTTCTCGAACACAAAGCCTGCAAAAGAGATTGTGGCGCTAATCTCATGATGGACTCCTTGGAGGCGTCTCTAGAGTGCAACAATCATCGGGGTCAAGATAGCAAAATTACAGCAGCTAGGAGGAACATCAATGGCACTAGCGAATGGGGAGAACCGGCATGCAGTTGACGCCCAAACATCTCCACACGAAGATAATGAGCGAACACTGCCCTCGGAACTGCAGCGAGACCACAGTTCCTGAATCACTTTGCCACTTGGACAGGACATGCATTAGGAGTGGGTTGGGTGGATGTAGAGAACCTGATGGCCTAAAATTGATTGCACTGAAGCGTTGCGTGGATGTTGTTCGAAACGGAACTGGAAGCTTTACTTTGCCAAGGGATTGTGCTTGTACTTGTCGCGAAGCATAACTCTAATATCTACGATATATAAGTATGTTTTTTCCACACGCACATTTGCGGTCTATTCCTGACTACATCTTCGCAAATCGCTTGAAGTGGAACCCTTCCAGGCAGGAAAGGTTATCAGTGAGGTGGGAGGAAGTTGTCTCGGTGAAAACTGCCCGCCATGTGATCATGTATGTTGGCTTGCCCGAAATCGACCCATGAACTAACACGTGGGCAATGACATCGGAACTGTTACTATTTACCGGTCCAGGTGGGGCGACTGTCGATCTTCTTCGGAACTTTTGCTGGCGGAGGAGCTCATGGACTGAAGAGGAGAAGCGAAATCTTCCACCTGAGTGCCCACGATAGTTTTGAAACTCCCGAGGAGAACCGTTTTTCGGCCGTTTCAAAATTGTTGTTGCCTCCTCCTTTTGGGCTCATAAAAGCAGTGCTCGTCGTCCACGAAATCCTTTGTTTTTCATTATCCATAAAGGGCCGTCAAGATGGACAAGCTGCAATCTGGGTATGATATTGATCCCGAAGATGGGGACCAGTACTATAAAGGCAAAGACGGACTTTGGTATACGTACCCAGAACTCTCATCGCGAACCGACTCTTCAACGAGAGGATGTTCGAAGAAGACAAAGCCAAGAGTGGCTTGTTCCCATCGTCGACAAATGGGGAGCCAACGGCATGGAGCACAAGCGAGCCCGACCTCGTGAAACTACCAGTGTTGCTATTTCCGATCGTCGCCATTCGAGTCGCGTGAGTCTTCCACCCACGACGATCTACACCAAAGCCCTTGAAGCCCAGGAAACGATTCCAACGAAACCAAAGAGAAGAAGAGGACATCTCGCGTTGTCCAATGCAACATTCCAGCTACCAAATGTGGATCCTGGTGGAGAACTATCAGTCCTGGGTTTACCAGACAAACACAAACGTGCAATGTCAAACAAGGTCTGCAAATGGCTTGCCAGATGGGTCCGAGACAACGACGTTGGGCCGATGGAGATTGTCTTCTCTCCAGGGAGGCGTTGGAAAAGTTGGGATTCGACTGGCTCACTAAAGAAGCACGAAATGATATGAAATGGATGGGAAACTATGAAGAAGTCAGGGGTTTCACAAAAAACACCCATTTTGATTTTGAGAAGGATACTCTCTTGCCAACTGGACTAAATACCAACGTCGGCGTTCAAGGAAAGAAGCTGGATCCGAAGAGGACGGCCTTTTGGGAGCCATTGGGTTTCGTTTGGAGCGGCTGACAATCCCCTGCACCACAACTCAAGGAAAAGAAAGGCACCGGCACAGAGCGACCTGTCTGAGCCAGCAAGTTTGAAAAGCAGTGGATGAATACTTCAATGAGCTCAAATTGTATTCGCGAACAAAACGGACACTTTCGAGGTCTACCTGGAGAAACAACAATGTGGCCTGGGGCGATGGGCCGCTCGACAGCGTGAAGGTTCCAGCAGGGAAACTGATTCAAAGAGGGAAAGCTTTTGAGAGGCATTGGATTTCGTCTAGCGTGACATCCCTACTATGAGCCTTACAATATCACTGCCCAGTATGCAAAAGCTGGCAAAGAAGCTGACGTTCAGTGCAAGAACAACGATGGTTTCATATCAGATCAAGCGATGATGAGGACAATGAAGATTTTGAGGGGCTTTCTCTTGCCGAGAAGCGAGAGAAGACGTGGATGAACTTTTTCACTAGACTGAAGATGTTCTACATGCAGAATGAGATTTTCGCCTCCCAGAAAGAAACACTGACTTGGGTGGATGGGCGCGTCGACAACGAGAAACGTTTCAAGCAGGTCGGCTGGATTCAAAGCGAGAAAACCTTTTGAGGGGCATTGGGTTTCGACTGGATCGTGTCCGTGCGCCTCGCAAGAAGGCTGCTCCGATGTTGAAGTCAATGGGATGATGACGACAACAGTGGGTACAAGAGCGAGGGCCATTCCAACGAAGATGACAATGGAACGAGCCATGCATTGAACGTTCTGACACGGAGGCAGAGCCCGTGAACTGCCGTCCAGCCTACCAGCGTCCCGCAGCCAAGACTGCCTCACGTACAAAGCGCCAAAAGTCCGAGGAAAGCTTGTATCTCTCCTCTTTC